AGTATGCCAACCTCGCAATCAGTGAGCTCGTCGAACATTATATCGCTCAGGTGTGGCCACGAAGAGGCTATCCTTTTAATTGTCGATTCTGCACGAAGTGGCAAGTCTTCGACTACCAAAGCCCTTTCAATCTCAACTGTCTCGGTTCCATTCATGGGCAGCACCCTTAGACTTCTGACTTCCGAGTTGCATTTGATTGAACCGCTTAAGGTGTTTATTGTCAATGTTGTTGGCGTTGTAAACACCCCATTTCCGACAAGAAGCTTTCGTTTAATCAGAGTGACATCCGAGCCACTGTCCAAAAATGCGTAAGTTTCGACGTTTCCTGTCGGAGTTGCCAACTTGACAGGAATAACCCCCAGTCGTGATGGTACATGCGTAATTCCAGTCAGGGCACAAAGCCCTTCATCATGTAATTTTTGTTGATTATTTTCCGACGATATTACATGCAAAAGCGTATGATGTCGTTTTTTGCACCCGGAATGACCGCAATGTTCTCTGGAGCTGCACACCTTGGCAAAATGCGTATTACCAAGACAAACAAAACACGCTTTGTGTTGCCGCAGACAATTCCATCGATCTGCGACACCCATTGCAATTAAACGTGGGCAATTTGCCACTTCATGTGCATTAGAACATATGTAACATGGCCGTTGATCTGGTTCGACACTCGAAATGGCAAAATTGTTAGGGTTTTCCCGTTTTAGATGTTGGGCCGTGGCAGTAAAGGGCTGTTGAGAGCGCTTGCCATCCCCATCTCGAGATATTTGTCCGGAACGACTTCTTGCTATCCTAGCTCGAGTATTTACGAATTCCGTGAGGTCTGCAAAATCCGGATCTCTACCTTTCATAGATATTTTATCAGCAACTTTAGCCCATTGTATCTGCATAAAAAACGGCAAACAACGCACTATTCGCTCTAGGACATTCAGCGATTTTAGGTCGGAAACGTAGTTCATTTGCGTGAGCGCTATTTCACAACTTCTCATTTTTATGCACAAATCTGAAAGTGCCTTCGCAGTCTGGTTAACTTGGCGTGCCTGTCTGAAAACACCGTCCAGAAGAGCATTAGCCACTACATGTGGCTGGCCAAATAAGCTGCTCAATATTTCCCGTGCTCTTGAATAAGCCGAAGGTGAGGGAAGCATGACGCATTCTTCTATGGACGCTCTTGCATCACCTCTGCAATAGTGAATCAAGTACAGTAGCCTCTGTCCAGCATCTTCAACTTTGCTCTCTACGTACACTTCAACCTGTCGTATAAACTGGAGGAGGTGGGTGCCGGTTACACCTTTTTCTGGAGTGGTCGACCCAAGGCAGAGCGACGAGACGCGGGTGTCGCCTTCGTCATTCGGAACGACATCGTGGGACGACTGCCCTGCTTGCCGCAGGGCATCAACGATCGCCTGATGAGCCTCCGTCTGCCCCTCTGGGGCGGCAAATTCGCTACCATCATCAGCGCCTACGCTCCGACGATGACCAACCCCGACGCCGTCAGAGACAAATTCTACGAGGACCTGCACGCCCTCTTGGCGACTGTGTCGAAGGCGGACAAGTTGGTTGTCCTTGGTGACTTCAACGTCCGCGTAGGCACAGACCATACTGCCTGGAGGGGAGTGCTGGGTCCCCACGGTCTCCGCGGCTCAAACGACAATGGTCTGCTGCTTCTCCGCACCTGCGCAGAACACCGCCTCATCCTGACGAACACGTTCTTCTGTCTGCCGGAGCGAGAGAAGGCCACCTGGAGGCATCCGCAGTCGCGTCAGTGGCACCTGCTGGACTATGTCCTCGTCCGGAGGCGAAACCAGCGGGACGTGCTGGTGACAAGGGCGATTGCAGGCGCTGGCGGGTGGACCGACCATCGCCTCGTCATCTCGAAGATGCGTATTCGCCTACAGCCTCGCAGGAGACCATAAGGTAAGCGACCCCCAGGTAAGCTGAATATTGCTTTGCCTGCTCACGATCTCCATTTCAGCAATGAGCTAGCTCAACGGCTAGACGGCCTTCCTACCGCTGTCGCCGCCGATGCTGCCGCTGCCGAGAACGCCTCCGTGGAGAACCGCTGGTGTCAACTGCGAGACACGGTCCAGTCGACCGCGCTAGCCGTCCTCGGTCGCGCTCCCCGCCAACACCAGGACTGGTTCGACGACAACGACGCCGCCATCAGAAATCTGCTAGCTGAGAAGAACCGCCTACACAAAGCCTACGTAGACCACCCCACTGATGTCACCAAAGCTGCCTTCTACCGCAATCGCCGCCAACTGCAGCAGCGACTGCGCGAGATGCGGGACGCCTGGACTGCTTGCAAAGCTGAGGAGATCCAAGGCTACGCGGACCGCAACGAATGGAAAAACTTCTTCTCCGCGATCAAAGCTGTCTACGGTCCGCCGACGAACGGCACTGCTCTTCTCCTCAGCGCGGACGGCAACACTCTCCTAATTGAGAAGTCACCAATTCTACAGAGATGGGCCGAGCATTTCCGAGGCGTCCTCAACCGCTCCTCCGCCATCTCCGACGTCGCCATCGCCCGTTTGCCGCAAGCGGAGACCAGTGTGGACCTCGACCTCCCGCCATCTCTCCAAAAAACCATCAGGGCGGTGCAGCAGCTCTCCAGCGGGGAAGCACCCGGATCGGACGCAATCCCGGCTGAGGTCTACAATCACGGAGGTCCCCAACTAATGGATCACCTGACTGCGCTCTTCCAAGAGATGTAGCGCCAAGGTGAAGTCCCACAAGATTTCAAAGACGCAACCATCGTGCACCTCTACAAGCGAAAAGGGAACCGCCAAGTCTGCGACAATCCCCGTGGCATCTCCTTGCTGAACATCGCCGGGAAGATCTTCGCCCGCATCCTTCTCAACCGCCTCAATAACCACCTGGAACAGGGCCTTCTGCCGGAAAGCCAATGCGGTTTCCGTCGTCATCGCGGGACCACGGATATGATCTTCCTCGCCCGTCAACATTAGAAGTGTCAGGAGATGCGGACCCACCTGTACTCTACCTTCGTGGACCTGAGGAAAGCCTTCGACACGGTGAATCGTGAAGGACTGTGGAAGATCATGCAGAAATTCGGCTGTCCGAAGCGATTCATTCAGATGGTGCGACAGCTGCACGACAATATGATGGCGCGAGTCACGGACAACGGAGCGGTCTCGGAGGCGTTCGCATTGACCAACGGAGTTAAGCAGGGATGCGTGCGGGCGCCTACCCTCTTCAGTCTTATGTTCTCTGCCATGCTGATGGACGCCTACCGCGACGAAGGTCCTGGGATCCGCATCGCCTACAGGACGGACGGTCACCTTCTGAATCAACGGCGGATGCACCTCCAATCACGGGTCTCCACAACCACCGTTCACGAACTCCTCTTCGCCGACGACTGCTCCCTGAACACCACCTCGGAAGAGGAGATGCAACGCAGCATGGACCTCTTCCCTGCCGCCTGCGAGAACTTTGGTCTGGTCATTAACACGCAGAAGACGGTGGTGATACATCAACCGCCACCCAACACAGCCACTCCTCCCAACGCGCCGCAAATCAGCGTGAACGGAACCCAACTGCAAGTGTTGGAGAACTTCCCGTACCTGGGCAGCACCCTTTCCCTTAACGCCAAAATCGATGACGAAGTCGCTCGCAGGATCTCGAAAGCCAGTCAAGCCTTCGGCCGCCTCCAGCGCACAGTCTAGAATCGTCACGGTCTCCAACTGAGCATGAAGCTGAAGATGTACAAGGCCGTCATCCTGCCGACGCTGCTGTACGGAGCGGAGACTTGGACAGTATACACAATGTGCAATAATTTACCGTACTAACAACACAGGTATTAGTTAAAAGCCCAGACACGCGTGTTTCGCCGATCTTGTGCCGCTGCCTGACGCAGCTGCGAGGGGTTCGGCTCGTCAGTGGGTCCCCCAGCTTTCCCCGTGTGCTTTCTGGTATATGAACTCCAGTTTCAACTTGCCTTGTTTAATTTCCGAGGAAATTAATGCGCGAACTTGGAGTAACTCTTTCGAAACAGGCCTTTTCAGGCTTTTAGCTAATACCTGTGTTGTTAGTACGGTAAATTATTGCACAATGCTATACTACTGGCTGCCTGTTGGCGGTTTGTGAATATTAAGCGGTTATTCCGCAGTAGCTGATGGATTTCAGCTCAAATATTCATATCAAATTTCGGACCGCCTGAAAAGGCCTGTTTCGAAAGAGTTACTCCAAGTTCGCGCATTAATTTCCTCGGAAATTAAACAAGGCAAGTATACACAATGCAGGCGCATCGACTGAACCAGTTTCACCTTAGCTGTCTCCGTCGCATCCGGAAGCTGAACTGGCAGGATTGAATCCCCGACACTGATGTGCTGGAACGGACGGGAATCCTCAGCACCTACACCATGCTGAAACAAATGCAGCTGCGCTGGAGCGGCCACCTGGTGCGCATGGACGACGAGAGACTATCCAAACGACTCTTATACGGAGACGTCGCCAAAGGCTCTCGCCGCAAAGGAGGCCAAATTAGTGGATACAAGGATACACTGAAGTCCTCCCTGAAGCATCTGCAAAGTAACCCGACCAACTGGGAAAAGCTCGCACTCGACCGACCGACCTGGAGGAGGAAAGTGAAGACAGGCATTGCGATCTATGAGGCCAACCAAATTGCCGCTGCCAAAGTGAAACGCGACGCACGCAAATCACAGACACGCCCCGTCCGCTACTCCGACGCACAACCGCTTCCAACGTGTCCTCGGTGTCAACGGACATTCCGGGCCCGAATTGGACTCATTGGACACCTTCGGACCAGCTGCACCTCCCATAGCGCACCAACCGCCGTCCCTCCGCCCGCCTCTTCCTCGTCCTCTCCGCCGCCAACTAACTCTGGCGATTCTTCTGAACCACCACTTCCGTCCTCCTCCTCCTCCTCCTCCTCCTCCTCCTCCTCCTCCTCTTCTTCTGCTTCCTCCCCTCCTCCTGACCCACTGCACCAACCACGGCCGCTCTGGTGGCCGTCACCCACACCAGCATCACACACATCCATGACACAACAACAGACACCATCCCTCCAACCTCCGACTCCAGGGGTGAGGACCAGGACTACATCTGCCCTCACTGCGACCGCACCTTCACCTCACATATCGGCCTGGTCAGTCACTTGCGAATCCATCGCACAGAGACTGACGAGCAAGTGCCAGGAGCACCAACCTACACCCACCGCACTCACCTCCACTGCCCGCACTGCCCTCGCACCTTCACGCATCGCATGGACCTATTCGGCTACATGCGCATCCACGACGAACTGCGGCAGACAACCGCGGGCTACACCACACCACAACACCCCCTCCCTGCGCCCACCACCACCACCACCACCACCACTACCACCACACATCAACACTCACCCACCGCATGCACCCAACTGCCACCTCCCACGCAAGTGGGAAGTGTGCATCTGGACTCGGTCCCCATGCGGCTTCGGCTGCACGGGTGACTTGAGTCCGAGACTATCCCGACACGTCAAGCGTCGTGGATAGGAAGGTTGCTGATTGACGCCCGCTCTCCGTTCACGCAGTTCGTCCCGTTGTGTGTGAGTTGTGTGGTGTGGCGGACTGGTGGGCTGGGCGGCGGGCTGAAACAGCACCTTCCACGGCCCTCTCACGCAAGTGAGAGACACGCCGTTTAACCCCCGTTGTGTGAAATCCTGGTGTTTGTGTGTGTATGGGGGGCCAGGTCGTGCTGTGGCGCGCGCAGGCATGGTCAGTCGACCGTGTCAGCCAACGCGTCCATTCCCCACTCCAGTTTGCTGACCGGCTCGGACAGTGGCTGGGATGTAGGGATGGGAAGGGAGAGTGAGGCCGACGACTCAGCGCATTTTCTCCTCACTATAAACAATCTGACGCGCTTAAAGCTATCACGGTGCGCTAAAAGCCGTGGCTTGGAATGTTGCCAACTGACGGGATAACTTGGACCTCCTCCTTGACTGGAGGCGGTCTGAGAGTCAGGCTGCAATGGCTCCTTTTTAATGTGGCCTTTATGGCATTCCCACCACAGTGTGGGATCCGAGCCAGGCGTTGGCGGC